TGTAAGCAATATATTGTAGCAGTTTACTAGATTAAGGTACAGACATACAACCAATGTAAGGCTACTGGTGTGTTTGTCTGATTTGTCTGCTTGCCCCCTCATCTTGTGATGCCTGCTGGCAAACATAATGCCCAATTATTTGTCCACCACCTAGTAAAACATATCTAACTAGGGAAAACTGAAAACATGATGCAATTTAACATTTTTTCTGTGCCACAAATGATGCAAAATTTTGAGGTGAGAATTTCCCCTTCCCTAAGAAATTGAGGTCGGATTTAGCGTAAATTACTTATATTTAGGGTCCATGGGGTCACAAAGAGTCGGACATGACTTAACGACTAAACAGCAACAACTTATATTTAATAAATAAGATTTTAATGATACTTCATGTTATTTGTAGGAACTGGATCAGTACCTGAAAAGCAATAACCAAACTTGTTAATCAAATACTGGAGGAAAGCGATTCATAAAATTTAGTGCTGCTTACGCTGGCGACCTTTCCAAACTTATTGAAAATTTCCACTGTATTCTGTTAGATTTGTTTCTGTTTAGACATAAAACATTCATCAAATTCAACATTTTCGTGAAGTTTATTTTTATAGGAATCCTTGTAAATATTTGAGATACAGTAGTTCAGGTAACACCTGCCCACCTTATCTATCTCCTATATGTGGAACAGGAAGCAACAGTTATAACTGGATATGGAACACCTGGTTGGTTCAAACTGGGAAAGAAGTACAACAAGGCTGTATATTGTTTCCCTGCTTATTTAACATATGCAGAATACATCATGTCAAAGGCCTGACTGGAGGAATCCCAAACTGGAATTAAGATTTCCAGAAGAAATATCAACAACCTCAGATATGCAGATGATACCACTCTGATGGCAGAGAGTGAGGAGAAATTAAAGAACCTCTTAATGAGGGTGAAAGAGGAGAGCGCAAAAAATGGTCTGAAGCTCAACATCAAAAAAGCCAAGATCATGGCCACTGGTTCCATCACCTCCTGGCAAATAGAAGGGGAAGATATGGAGGCAGTGACAGATTTTACTTTCTTGGGCTCCATGGTCACTGCAGATGGGGACAGCAGCCATGAAATTAAAAGACACCTGCTTCTTGGGAGTGATGACAAATCTTGACAGCATCTTAAAAAGCAGAGACATCACAAAGGTCCACATAGTCAAAACTATGGTTTTTCCAGTAGCGATGTATGGAAGTGAGGGCTGAACCATAAAGAAAGCTGACCACCGAAGAATTGATTATTTTGAATTGTGGTGGTAGAGGAGACTCTTGCGAATCCCCTGGATTGCAAGGAGAACAAACCTACCCATTCTAAAGGAAATCAAGCCTGAGTGCTCCCTGGAAGGACAGATCCTGAAGCTGAGGCTCCAATACTTCGGCCATCTCATGAGAAGAGAAGACTCCCTGGAAAAGATCCTGATGTTAGGAAAGTGTAAAGGCAAGATAAGAAGGGGACGACAGAGGACGCGATGGTTGGACAGTGTCATCGAAGTTACCAACTTTCATTTGACCCAACTCCGGGAGGATGTGGAGGACGGGGGGGGGCTGACGTGCTCTGGTCCATGGTGTCATGAAGAGTCGGACACGACTAAGCAACAATAAGTTCAGTAACAAGTACATTGTTTAGATTTTTAGGACAGGAAAGAAATTGAAAATTGGTAGCACACTTTCAGTCTTTGAAGAGCTGTACACTTAAATATGTGAACTTTGTAGAGATAGTTGCCTGAAAACAACTTTGCCAGAATCCTGTTCACTTGCCTGACTGCCTGTGGGCAGTCAAGAACCTGGTGGAGAGTATTTTCTGGACTGTCTGCCATGTGTCTGGTTCTCAAACCAGTTTGCAGTTGGTCAGGTAAAGTAGTGAAAAGCAAAAAATGCTTGTGTAATCATTATCATCATCATCATCTTGGAACTGCAGAATTGAAAGGGACCATAGGGGTAATTGAATCCAACCCTTGTCAAGGAGGCACAGTGGGGAATCAAGCTCCAGACCTCTGGCTTTACGTCATGATACCTAAACCACCACCGTGTTATCCAGCAGCTCCTATAATTGCCCCGGTGTGTGCAGTTTTCCTTAGTACAATTATGACCTTTTATTTATTTGCACAGGGAATTTAGGTAGCATTTTCCAGTTGCCCAGTTTCTACCTTGTGTCCATTATGTAGTTGATTTTATGAATGAATTTTATTTTTAAAAATGGGCAGTTGTCTGTCCATTTACAGTTAAGGCTAACTATGTAGCTCTTTATAGTACATGACATGCTCATTTACATCTAGTTAAGATTGCTCATTTGTGTCATCCTAGTTACTTTACTGAAAATAAGGCTAAAATGTGGCCATGCGTGTTAACATGGACTTTAGAAAGGTAATGTACTGTTGGCACATGAGTGGAGAGGTCAGAGCAACGTGATCTGGGCAGGATGGCACCTTCACAGTAGCTGGTATGAAAAAGAGAGAAATATAAGCCCAAACCAGCTCAGTCCACCATTATCAACACAGTACCACATTGATAGTGCAAGAACATAAGAAGAGCCCTACTAGATCAGGCCAAGGGCTCATCCAGTCCAGCTTCCTGTATCTCACAGTGGCCCCACCAGATACCTCTGGGAGCACATGAGACAACTAGATACCTGTAACTAGAATATGTATGCATTTGCAATTTGACACATAAGCCAACTCTGTGGTTTTGGAAATAACTGCACGTGCTGCTGAGCCGTGAGCCATGATTTCTACAGTTCTGTTGCTTGATGGGTTATACAACTAAAGATAATGTTGTAAACATAATGACGTACAGTATTGTAACCTCGATATAGGATGTGTATACAGTGGTGCCCCGTATAGCGAGGTAAATCCGTTCCAGATTAACCTTCGCTATGCGAAAACATCGCTGTACAGGCAAGGAAAGCCTATTGGAACGCATTAAACTTAGTTTAATGCATTCCAATAAGCGTCCAAACTTACCCCTCCAGCGATGTTTTCGCGTTCGGCGGCTCCAAAATGGCCGCCAGATGACCCGAAATGGCCCCCTGTCAGTGTTTTCGTGCCCTCCCCTTGCTTACCGAGGTCACGAAAACGCTGGGGGGGGCTATTTCGGGTCATCCAGCGGCCATTTTGGAGCCGCCGATCAGCTGATCGGAGCGAAAACATCGCTGGAGGGGTAAGTTTGGACGCTTATTGGAATGCATTAAACTAAGTTTAATGCGTTCCAATAGGCTTTCCTTGCCTGTACAGCGATGTTTTCGCATAGCGAAGGTTAATCTGGAACGGATTTAGTTCCAGTTCTGATTCAAGGGATCATTAGTGAAATAAAGGTGATGATGGTATTAGGTAATAGTGATGGACATATAGCTGATACTGCTTTTCTCTAATGAAGCTGACAAGTTTTGCAGGTTTTTATTTTTCAGCAGTTTGGAATTCCTGTGAAGAAGTGCTGCTTAGTAGTGTTGCAGGCTACTTCCAGTAACAGCATTATTTTGTGTATATCCTATCCTTACGTCGCACTATGTAGATGCTATTAACAACAACACTAATTGATTCTTATTAGATGGGATGACATAGACAATTAGAATATTCATATATTCTGAAATCAGTTTGATTCGGCACCCCTGCAACAGTAAAAACTAGGGTTTTACTGGTGTTTCTCCTTCTCCCAGTCTTTAGAATGCTTTGGGTTTCATGATGTCTATTCTGTTCTGTGATAGAAATATCTTCTCCCCCCGAAAGGAACGAGTGTACTGAACTTCTTAGTCTTTTGCACAGAATGGAAGTGCTCTATTTCCACATATAGGTTTCAAAACTCTGCTGTAGTAATAAACATGTGAGGTGTAAACTGTTTGGATTTTACAGAATTTAATAGTAAATTCTTTAAAGATAAGTTTTTAAATCATTTGTAAGCTGTTTTGAGTCCCTCTACAGGGAAGAAAGCAGGATAGAAATTAATTAAATAAATAAATATATACGTGTAATACTTAAGTTTTAGGTGTACAGGTATAGGTGTATGGCAAAATAGATCTCTTAAATAAAGCAAATCAATGAGCTGCTGGTATTATAGTTGTTTCATTTTGGTTTTTAGATGAAAACTGGGATGATCAGCTACTTGGATTTGAGCCTTGCAATGAAAACCTCATAACAGGCTGCAATATAATCAATGGAAAATGCGAGTGTGATACTATTAGGACCTGTAGTAATCCCTTTGAGTTTCCAAGCCGGGATACTTGCCTGTCAGCTTTAAAAAGGATTGAAGGTAAGTCTGTATTCACAAGTATTTGACATGTAATTATTTATGGCACATCATCTTGAAAGCCTGAGATGCATTCTTTTTACTTTCTCAATGTTTGTTGGAAGAGATGTTAGCGTAGTGGTGTTGGCCAGAGAGAAATGCCTGTTTTTGTGACTCACTGTAGTGATTAATTCTTTTTTCTGTTGCAACTGAATGAGTGCTCTATATTTTGTTTGGCTGTATATAAAGATGGTGACTCTTTATGTGCTAGGCAGCTTTTATGAGAAGGCAGACTGATCTGACAAGATTGCCTACCTGTGAAAGTTGTAGTTTCTAAATGCATAGTTTATGAACTATCACCAGAAACTTTCCCTTCTCTAAGCCAGGCATAACTGGAATGTGTGAAGGGAGGACCAAGAAATTTCTTTCTGACTAAAGTGTGACTTGGTGTGTAATACTTGCTGGGGTTTTGCTAAGGTTTTGTCAATTTCAGGTGGGCTGCTTTGTGGTGCAGACTTCTCATTTTGCTGTCTGTAGGAGCATCTGGATTTTCATAGCTCTACAAATGATACCTGGAATGACACCCAGAACTTTAAGTTTTGATTTAAATGGATTCTACTGAGATGAAAAGAGTTGAAACACATGGAGTTTTACACTTTGTAAAAACGTTCTTAAAAAGTAAAGTATTGGCTATATCTCTTGTACTTCAGATTGTACTTCAGATTGATTTTTCAGTCAGATAGAAGTAGTTGTCTGGCACTTGTTTCTTATGTGTAGATAGTCACGAAACACATAAATGGTCATATGTGGAATAATGCATAGCTACATTACACTGTGTGAGTATATGAGTAAGGAAAGTGCAGTGAATCTGTGTATGTGTGATAAAATCAGTTGTGGTCATTAGGAAAAGCATATATATGTGTGTACATAATACTGCTGCAACAGAAATAAGGTATTCTGCAAGTTAAGTTGCTATTATGATAATATGTTATCATCCATGGATATCTTTCAGGTGTATGGATTGTGTCCTAAGACTGCAACATTATGAACGTGTTAAAATTAAACTTTTTTATGGATGGTTCACAGTTCCTCTTCAGTGAAATTGTAATTAAAAAAGGAGAGAGTTTGTGGGATACAACATCACAGTACCTGAACATTGTAAACAGGGTTTGACTATTTGAAATAAACCAGTATGCTGAACTTTGTTCATATTGTCTGTAGCTTTTCCTTATACAGTATTTGAAGAGTATTGCAAACTTCTGTTTTTCCATACAGAAGGACATGGATTTCATTATGAATACTGCTTGGGTTGTAACTTACTGAGATCCAGTAGACTGGAAAATCAGTCTGGGGTCTCAAGCAGGCAAGAGCATCTGGACCAGCAGTGCATTCTGTATTCTGTGTCTTTTAAAGATTCTTTCCAGTACAGTGGTGCCTCAGCTTATGAAATTAATCCGTATTGGAAGGGTGGCCGTAACTCAAAATTTTCATAAGTCGAAGCAGCATTTCCCATTGAAATGCATGGGAACGGGATTAATCCGTTCCAGCATTAAAAAAAATACCAAAAAATTAAAGCACACAGAAAGCCCCATTGGAAGGTGCTGGGGCTTTTAAAAAACCAACCAAAAATAAACAGAGCAAGCCCTGAAGGCTACAAGAACAACAACACAAAAATAAACATCAAGCAATCCCCATGCTGGGACTACTAAAAACAACACAGCACAGAAACATAAACCCCCTCAGCCAAAACCCACCCTGCAAAACCCACCCAGACGTTTCTAAAAAAGAAAAGGCAGCACTTTACCAGGCAGACTGAAGCCTCCTCTGATGGCACTCATTCCCGGCGGGGAGCCTCCTCCTGCGCCGCCACTGCACGCCCCATCCACGGAGGAGCCCCTCACACCTCAGCCCAGTGCCTTTGGCTGCCCTTACTCATGAGTAGACCTGCACCTTCCGTGAGTCTTACTCATGAGTAGACCCATGCCAGCACCGGCTTCCTGTGCCTGGCGGCGATCTGGAGCTGCCCCCGCCTCTCTTTCCTCCTCCTGCCTCACAAGAGTAAAAAAAGTTCCCTGACCTCCTGCTCTAACCATTGGGCAGAAAGAGCTACAAAGAAGCAGCCTTTTCACCACCAACAGTTTGATTTTCCCACCCTTTCCCCTGCCTTTTTCTGTTCTTAGATCAAAGCTCCGGCCACAAGTCGAAGCAAAATTTTGCAGCTGGAGCTTTTCGGAACTCGAAATTTTTGTAGGTAGTGGTGTTCATAAGTCAAGGCACCACTATATTGGCCTATTACTTGGAATAATTTTCAGGAACAGAAACACAATACTGTATATATGAATACCTTAAACTGATGTACTTCAAAATAGTTCAGAATGTTTTCCAGGAGTTTTATTTTTTTTAACAGAGGAGAAGGGGAAAGTTTCCTCTCAGGCTTCTTTTCTCTGGGTCATCCCATCTTGATCAAAAAATAGTATGTTTTCTTACAGGAATGTATTGTGCATAGCTTCAGATGGTTTAGTCGAGGCAGTGGTGGATCCTTATTAGATCAGAGCAAAAGACATGAGAGCAGAATGTTTTAAGAGCAATTCTTAAAAGACTGTCAAAGACAAGGGGGCAAGGGAAAACTGATCTGCTAAGTATGTTGTACTATGACTGTTGTGGTTTCCACTGGAACATGGAAACTGCGGTGGGAGTTGAAAAGTTCAGACATAAACATTTTTTACCTCTGTCAGAAAAATGGGGAAGAAATGTAAGGATCAGTATAATTCTAAAATGAAGGTTTAAAAAGTGTCTTTCTTCAGTAAAGCTTTACTGTAGACTTTACAGGAAGTGATATTGAGGCCTAAACTAAACTGTACAGTTAATATGTCATTAAAAGCTGAAGGAGATGAATACAGGGCATATTATTGTCTTAGCAAAATCCATATCACCATATGTTAGCTTTTTGTGTGTGAGAGATTGGTGATTAGGAGATAAATATGAATTTTATATACAGGTCTGACTTGCTTTACATGCCTGGAGGAAAATTTTTGTAACAAGTAATGGTTTTAGTGTGTGACTTGACTCTTACTTGTACAAACATTCATTGTGTTTTGAATCTATAATATAAAGTTGGCAGCTAGAGAGGCAGAACTTTTAAGAGAACTGCAGAGTTACCTGGCCTGTTAATAGGTGATGTAAAGGTCATGGGAATAACTCATTAAAAGTGTATGTGTGTAATATATCCCAAAGGCTCAAGATATCATATATAAATGTGTTCATTATATAAAAATTATGCATAGAACAGCTTTGTACATTGGCAGTAATCAAGATCACTTTTTGTCTCATCAAATATTAAAAAAATTAGAATTCTGCGTATTTTACTTTTTAAAGTTTTAGGTTCCTTTTTTACAGAGATGAACAAAAGCTAAATGTTTACTAAATGCCATCTCATTCAGTTACACCTTCTCATGTTTCAAGTTTGATGTTCCTTCTATCAACACTTGAAAGGCTGTATCTTTAGGGAGTCTTTTGGAGAGTCAACATGCAATTAAGATGGGGAGGGTTAGGGCTGCTTTTAAAATCTGTTCTGTAGTTTTCGTGTATTTTTAAATTTTTATTTTTATAGTTTTAAAATTTTAATTATGTTTTTCACTCTTGGAAGATTTTAAGCATTTTTTAAAAAATCACTTTGGGCCCCTGCAAGTGGAGAAAGGCAGGATACAAATTAAATATATAAAATAAAGACCAAAGGTAATATCTGAGTAAGTGACTAATAATTTATAATATTGGTAGCTTAAAAGGAACTATAAATTATGACTTTAGTTAGTGCAGAAGTGACTAGAGTGAACAATGAATCCTTTTTGGATGCAATAGTAGCATTTTGGCATTATTCTGTCACTAATATTTGTCTCTTGAGTTAACAGAAATCAAATGGTGTGTAAAGAAAGCATGAAGTTAACTACTTTAATACTCAAACTTCTTATATTTTAATAACCGTAGTTTTGCTTTTCTAATCATACACTTGCTTTTAGCAAAGTTCTGTAAAGTCGCTCCATTGTGACAGAAAATTCAAGTACAAAACCTACTAATCGATTCTAACATTATTTTTCTGAGGGTCACCTGAATGTTGTTTGTGAACCAGCTGTGGGCTGTGGATCACCACATGAAAATGTTTGGTCTAACACATGGCCAACACATTGATGAAGCTGGTACCCTAATATAGCACAAAATTACCTTGCCAGATTTGCTTATTCAGATAGCTGTACATGGCCATCTGAAATACTGCTTCTTGTCTGGGTTGCACTGTCTGGCATAACTGCATATTTCCAAGTTTTGTTATGTGCTTTCAAGTCATCTCCAGCCTATAGTTATACTATAAATGAACAATCTCCAAAATGTGTTGTCCTCAACTTCCCTGCTCAGCTCTCATAAACTCAGGCCTGTGGTTCCTTTATGGCAGTGGTCCCCAACCCCCGGTCCGTGGGCTTCCTGGAACTGGGCCACGGATACGGCTCTCCGCCTCCCCCCCACGCACGATGGGTATGTTGTGCTTGTGGAGGGGTGTGTTGCGCTTGTGGGCAGGTGTGTTGCACATGCACAAGCGTGACACGCCCCTGTGCGAGCACAACACACCTGCCCACAAGCGCAACACGTCCCTCCGCAAGCACAACATACCCACCCGTGAGCAATACCCATCCATCCATGAGCACGGGGGTGCCCCGCCCACCCACACACAGAGCCCGCACCCCCAACCAGGCCATGGTCCCAAAAATGTTGGGGACCACTGCTTTAGGGAGTCAGTCCATCTCATATTTGGTCTTCCTCTTTTCCTTATGCCTTCTATCTTTCCCAATGTTATGTCTTTTCTGGAGAATGTTGCCTTTTCACTATATGCACAAACTAGAGCAACCTCAATTTCATTATTTTTGTTTTCAGATTTGATTTGATCCAGTATTCACTTGTTTATCTTTCTGACCATTGAGGGTATCTGCAAAGATCTCCTCCAGCACCATATTTCAACAAATCATTTTTTCCTGTTA